AATCCAGAAGACAGCCATCTTCAAAAATGAACTCATTACTTTGAATAAGGAGTGCAAGAGGCAAGATAAGTTATGTTTACATAATAGACTGTATACATTTTATTCAGCTGCATTAAAAAGGGCCTACTTATACCAGTCGTGAGTAATTGTTTACAATACACAATCAAATTATGTGTTGAAATACAAGATACAGCACACAAAAACAAGAATTATTTTTAAAAAAACTAATGTAAATCACACCTGTGAACGCGAAAACGACACTAGTCTACAATAAAGTAATTTTCCTACTACATCTGTACGAAGGATGAAGAAAAATCCGTATACAGTCCACACAAAAGTACGCGTAAATTCGACTGAAAATTCAATCAGAAGCGTACAGATACGCCGCGGCAAAGCGGCAACTTCTTTAGCTGAAGTGTGATGCAGATAAGTATATACTGCAGGCACAAAGTTTTTAAGGCCATGCCGCGCAACACATTCCAGTGTGTTTCAAATTAATACCACTACAGTTTCTCAACGCACAATATGCCTTCACTTCTTACATACAAGCCTGTTTATGTGACAATCATTCTTAGCGTCCAATAGGCCCTTTCGTTAGCATCTTCGAAAGACAAGGATCAGAAACAACAGAAAGGGACGAGACAACACACTTTTCAGAAAGCCAGAGTCATCCCAAATCAAAAGAAAAATTAAAATGATCTATTACATACCGCGGAGATTAGTCAAGTTTGTATAACCTTAAAATGTTAACAAGCGAAAGGATAATATTATCCTAATGAAGGTTGGAACAGGACTATCGTGAAAAATAACATTTCTCCGGTGTACGCAATGTATCAGCAGTGAGCATGCGTAAGAATGGAGCGAACACCGCCGTGAATAATATTTCTGATCGATAAACTGCTTTGCCGTCGCGTTTCATAAGCCAAACCGTAACGACCCAATCCAAAAACACTAACATGGAGTGCAGACGCGGACTTTAGGAACACATGAGACTAGATTCACGAAATAATTCAGAATTGAAAATTAAACGTGCTTTAAGACTTCGAGACCGCTCTAATGTAAAACAAACATTACTATATTCTACCATGTACAAGACAGGATACACCTGTCGTTATTAAAAGGTATACTTGTGTATTCCATTCTAACTTTTGCGTGACGACATGGGGGAACTGAATAATTGTGTAAGGACGGTTAATATCACAATCTTACCTTTGACAATGTTGAGCCTTAACTGTTCTTTCTCCCAAGAGGCGAAGGACGCCTTCAGCGCCTCCGTCATTTTTTTGTTGGTGCCGGGAGTAAGAGGTGGCACTTGTGTTGGAATATCTGAAACAAATGAAACACGGAATTCGTCAAAACAACATTTTGCAACACTCTGTTATTCCTTCCTGTAAATAAAGGCTGGTAATGAAACGAGTAAGTTGAAAGTCAGCGTCGAATTTTTTTATGAGCTTGGGATTCTCAAATAAATACATTATGTATAGCCTATAGGGTGGAATCATTACATAATTATAGATATGGAACTGTGGAAATATGAAATGACGCAGCCATGGCTCAAGGATACTGATTTGAAAGTACATCGCAACTTTTGATTACGGTCCAAGGAAATATCAGAGCAACTGTGTGAAAGTGACCGTCTTGACGACGAAGTCCACCCGGGTTGCATGTTGCACAACCCCGTTGTAGCTCAAGAATATACGAGCAGGTGTGGGTGGCTGACCCATGTCAAGGCACAGCACCTGTTATTAACGTTATTACACTGCCAACCGATGCCTTCTTTTGTGCTTCATCCATGTTTTCTGTCCTTGACTCACTACTCAGACATGGAAACAATTTTTAAGTGCACCGATCCGTCACACAGCGCCTCCTACAGATCTGAACACTTCACCCAGTACAGCCGCAAGCAAAATTGAAGGACACATCAATACACACGAACATTTCAATCATTGTAATCGCACGGAAATAGAGAATCAATTTTGGCTTCATAAAATTAAGTCTTTCATCGGATTGCTATCATTCCATCCATACCTAGGTCTTCAAAGTGGTCTAGCCCTTTCAGGCATCACAAACAACTTTTAACGAAGATTTCTGTCTTCTGGGTTGTTGTGCTGTGTAGTCTGGTCGATGTTAACCAACGTTTCAGAGGTCGTACTGCCTCCGTCATCAGGGCGATGAGTATGAAGATTTCTGTCTTCTGGGTTGTTGCGCTGTGTAGTATGGTCGATGTTTACCAACGTTTCGGAGATCATACTGCCTCCGTCATCAGGGCGATTCCTCACTTTGTCTCTCTTAGGTTCCATTATTCAATTCAAGACCCCCGTCCCAAACATCCTCAATGTATGTTCGTCCTTGCTAACCATGTGTTGCTCTCACCAGAGAAATTTAATTTAAACCTCTTTAAGTATATGAGGTCAGATTCTAAAGACAATAAAGACATCGATGTAGGTCTTCTGTGCGGTAATACCATATGTACTTGCAAGCAGATACCAACATTTCACAAGGATGAAGATGGATGCAATATGTTCCTACGAAACGTTGGTATCTACCTGCAAATCCATATAGTATTACAAATCAAAATACCAAAATCGACTCGTATTTTCGCCGATGAAACGTATGTGCAACAAATATAACATTTCGTCTTACACGTATAAGACAATGTAGACACTACATGATACACTTCGGTTAGAATTTAGCCCAGCTCTGGTGTGGAGATTCGTGATATTCAACCCATTCATGAGAATTCTGGGATAGTCCCTACTTCAATAGAAGCCATAATTATTTCCTCGTGCTAATCATCCGAAGTGAGATTTTAGGTTCTCACGGCGGCGAATATGAAGATGGCTGTCTTCTGGGTTGTTGCACCGTGTACTTTTATAGATGCTGGCCGATGACAGAGGATCATACTGCCTCCATAATCAGAACAAAACCGTAATGATGGAGGCAGTAAGCTCCTCTGAAATGTCAGTAAGGTTCCACCGGAATACATATGGAACAACAACCCAAAATACAGCCGTGGTCATATATATACATATACACACCGAAAACCGCGGTTTGCTTTACTTATTGGATTATGTAATTAAGCTTTCATCAACTGCTTAAGTTCTAGTGCGTCGAGAGATGGGATAAAAAGGAAAAACAGACAGAATTGGACGTCGTATATATTAATAAATCGTCTAAGTATTTGTTCGGTAAGACTGTGGGGAGAAAATATTCAAACCTCTGCTTTATTCTAGCAACTTTCGTTAAATACTTGAACCGTCGCAAAGTCACGAAAGAAAAGAAAATTGGACGTCAGAAAAATGGTGTACTAGCTCAGGCGCCAAAAATCCCTGGAGCTAGGTGGCATACAATTTTATGGACACACACTGGCTCCACGTTTTTGGAGATGGCTCCTGAATTTAAAACAAAATTTATGCAGGCCTGTCTGGCTGTTTCTCGTAGATTAAAATAATTACTGAAATAACAACAGGTGATGTGCAATTTCTGGCTCATGATGAGACTACTCAAGAGTTCACTGTACATAGCCATTCTTTCGTAAGTAGATGACGAATCGGATAATTACTTGAGTGCCAGGTGCTTCTTGTACAGAACTTTATATAAACTGGTCTGTTTCTCTTTGTCTTTTTAACTTGAATTGTAAAGTAGGGACACACAAATGCCAATTAAGTAAGTGGTTTATTTACCGATTTCACAGGGAAAAATTTTCACATTAGGGAATTTAAGACATTCACTCCTGGAGCGACTTTATCAAACAGAAAGATAAAAATCTATAAAAAGTTTTAATTGTAAACTCGCTTAGCACTGTGAAGGAAAGGGGATAAAAGCCCTATTTACTATGGCTGTATCAAATGTTTAAGCTACTTAATCCAAAGGATTGTACATAAACAACTAATTACTTTATAACTATTCCTCAGCCGGATGCCTTTCCCAGACCTCAGAAGAGCAATAGGTACCATTTTCATAAATTTAAAAAAAACGTTCTAGCTAAATTATCGCATCACGATAAAATGTGTTCCAAGGCTACTTACGCACGATGCATGCGATTTATTAGAAAAACATGAGCACTGCCGGATCCTTGCCAACTTTTAAAAAGTGGTTTAGGGATAAACCCGAAATTCCTGGAGGAGGCTAATTAATGAGGTGACGATTCTAAACAAAATATATAGTCAGAAAATAACTCGATTATGTAACAATGAATCTTCGTATAAAATGGTGCTTAATTTATGCATATAGGCCTTATTATAGACTGAATTCATTTTATCCTTAGATCCTTTTTCGTCTGAATCAAATCTCGACATCCCTCAACACACAGCGGAGTGTTGTGAGAACTGCTTCTGTTTTGAAGTCAAATTCATCTTTATTAGGTGCATTCTGATGATCAAGTCATTATGGCTGACGTGGAGGAAATGCCACAACAGCAGTTTCAAATTTATGTTATTGTTTGCAGTGTTACCACCACATACGAGGTTCGTTATGACTGAAAAAATTTTAAACAGAGACCCTTCATTTTCGCTACAGGAATTAAATGTACAAAAATCAACATTTCGTCAGTCTTTGTCCATATTTATTCTAGTCGTTCAATCTCTTAATATATCACCAATAAAAATTAATGGTTTATTACGGGATGACCAGGCTATTCCACAGTGTATAAATATGCCGTGTGGTATGGCTATGCTAGAGATGATTCTTTCTCTGTACTTCATATGTATTATCATGCTTTACATGACATTGGGATATCACCGTGAAAAATGATATATTATAAACAAGAAAGCCGCTGTTTCAAAATCGGTTGTGTAACTTCCACATAATTTCATCATATATAGGCCCATTGTCTCACAGAGGGTAATACTGCATTCACTGCAGTCATATGTAGGCTATGAAGATGAAGTTTTCAATGGTGTTGCGCCGTATAATCTAATAAAAGTTTACCGACGTTTCAAAGATTCTTTTTGCCTCTATCATCAGAGCGGTGGGTCCGGCAAACTTCTACCAGACAACAAGACGCGTACGACCATGTTCGAAGGGAATTCATGGAAGGAGAAGTTTCGATTTACAAGGTGGCAATATTAGGGAAACAACCTTCTCTCCAAAAGGCCACAGCATTTTGCCTTACAAAGTTAAAAAGTGAGACCATGGTTCATCTCACCAACAGTCACAGGCCAGACCCATCGAATTCAGGAGGAATTACAGGAGTAATCATGACAATAACACGCTCAAAGCAATTCAAGAAGAGGCAAACGACATCTCTGATGCCAAGATGGCGCGTAATTACTTTCGCTAAGGTAAGGCTTTGTGAATGGATTCCGTTCCCATTGAAGAAATAAGAAAGAAACATGCCCTGAATGGGCGCATTATTACAGGCTAGCAAACAGATCGTTGTAAGTTATTTAAAGAACATTAACGAGACAGATACGTCAGATATTACAGTTCTGAAAAAGACATTAATATGTTCCTATGAAACGTTGGTATCTAACTACAGGATCCTGTTATCTAAAAGGCTAACATCGATATCTTTGTCGCCGTGAGAACCTTAAATACAGATCACAATTCAAACAAAGGCACTTAATTAAACTTATTTCGTCTTACTATTCAAGACGACCGGGACAGATCCTTTTGAATGGCTTAAGTAACAAACTATTTCAATGGTGCTGAGTCCGTCTTCAGAAGCTAACAGTCGCTCAGCTAGTCATAAGCTCCTGCCTCTCATGGAACCCGAAAGTCGATTCACAAGAGCCCACCACCAGGTATTATCCCGTGCCAGAACAATTCAGTCTACAACCGTCAATTCTATTTCCCCAAGATCTACTTTAATATTATCCTCCCATTCAGTAATGCATTCCAAGTGGTTTTATCACGTCAGGATTTCCAACAAAAATTCTGTACGCGAATTCAGTTTTACTGCCGTAATTCCGAAATATTTGAGAATTGCTACCTTTTTGAAGGAGTTTTGCTCTAAGTTAACTTTATTTACGAATTTGTCCTCTACCTCTCAAACTTATTTGTACAGCAATTCATTCCCCATCACCTAACAGAGCTTCTGTGTTTTCCTTAATGGAATTTATGTTTTCGCCTCAAAAATTAACATCAGCACAGGCCGAAAGCTGATGATCTTATACCTTCCTAACGGCACGTTAAAAAGCAGTGGCGATAAAGCATCTCACTGGAGATAACTTTGGATAAAAAATGGAATAACCAAAGCAACAGAAAATGAAAAAACAGTTGAAGAATGTGGATTGGACTCACTTCGACTCAGGATTGGGTCAATTAGCGGGCTCTCGTGTACACGATAATAAACCTTCAAGATTCCATGCAGGCAAGGAATGTCT